TGTAAATGTTCCGAGGGCGAAAACTGAAATATCGATAAAGGTGTAACGAATTTGATATGGGTATGATGGAAAGATAGATTTGAAATGGAAGATTTTAGTAGGGGAGAGATATGCGTCAAGTTGTGAATTGCTGTCAGTAGCAAATTGCTGTAAAATTTCCATGTATAAAGCGGTCTGGTTTCTTAGAAAATTAACTTCAAATTAGTTTGGGAAATGACCCAAGACGTGACGAATTTAACCGCAACACTACAGCTTGCAATAAATACATAAGGAAGAGCTGAATGTTACATTGTCCTGCTCAGTTTTTTCCTTAAGGTTTAAGAAGAAGAAATTAAATTTTAATTTTAAGATACGGAGATCCTATCACCTTCAAAGCGAGTGTGCTGCATGAATAAAGTGAAAATCGACTAGGAAGAGGGTCCGTTAACTTGCCCCCCCCCACTGAGAGATTTCATAGTCGTATTATTTTGAAATGAATGCGCTCGTTATGCGCTCATATGCGCCACCGATAATAACTCTTGCGCCATTATCGTTCTTTAGAAATCCGAAAAAAACATTTGGGGGGGGGCCAAGTGAACGTAGCCCCCCCAGTACGTATTTTGTCCCTTGTAACTAGGTCACCTGATACATTTGGTTATGCGCTTAATTGCGCCACTTGAATTAAAGCTAGCGGCATTACGGTTAAGCCGTGACAAATTTTCAAAGAGTGGGGGGGCCAACTTAACGTTTTTAAAAGTTACTTTTTTTTAACATCTTTTCATACGAAATTGTACTCTCAGGTATGCGCTGAAATGCGCCGTAAAAAGATATCTTTGCGCCATTATTGTTTTTTGGTTATCCTTAAATATATTTGGGGGGGGGCCAAGTGAACGGAATCCCCCATAACGTATTTTGCTACCGGTATTTGTGCCACTTGATACATCTGGTTATGAGCTCAATTGCGCCACTTGAATTAAAGCTAGCGCCATTACGGTTAAGCCATAAAAAAATTTTTAAAAAGTGGAGGGTCTAACTTAGCGTTTTCAAAAGTTATTTCCGGAAGTGCGTCCATTTTGAAAATATTTTACATCGATTCGGCCTTCAGAGTAACTTGTAAATACAAATTTCTAAAAACCTACCTATTTTACTTTCCCAGAATCGTTTAACTAAAGCTCCCAAAAAACACCCTGTATAGTGTTTCTGAAACACTATAATGGCGCCAAGATTTTTTGTTTACGGCGCATTTTAGCGCATGATGAAAGGTACGATGTAGTAGAAAAAACATGTTAAAAAACGTAACTTTTGAAAACGTTAAGTTAGCCCCCCTCCACTTTTTAAACATTTTTTATGGCTTAACCGTAATGGCGCTAGCTTTAATTCAAGTGGCTCAATTGAGCGGATGACCAAAAAACAATAATGGCGCAAAGATATCTTTTTACGGCGCATTTCAGCGCATACCTGAGAGTACAATTTCGTATGAAAAGATGTTAAAAAAAAGTAACTTTTAAAAACGTTAAGTTGGCTCCCCCACTTTTTGAAAATTTGTCACGGCTTAACCGTAATGGCGCTAGCGTTAATTCAAGTGGCGCAATTGAGCGCATAACCAAATGTATCAGGTGACCTAGTTACAAGGGACAAAATACGTACTGGGGGGAGCTACGTTCACTTGCCCCCCTCCCAAATGTTTTTTCGGATTTCTAAAAAACGATAATGGCGCAAGAGTTATTATCGGTGGCGCATATGAGCGCATAACGAGCGCATTCATTTCAAAATAATACGACTATGAAATCTCTCAGTAGGGGGGCCAAGTTAACGGACCCCTAGGAAGAAGACATCGAAATACAATCCTTGAGGAAGTCGATGCTATTTACCGTTTTTTAGCTAACCTTGTCGTTTGAAGATACATGGAAGCCAAATACGAAATCCCCGTCGGATAATTTATTCTTCCACTAATTGGCTAGGAAGTCGCCGCC